CTCTCTGTCTCTCTGTCTCTCTCTCTCTCTCTCTCTCTCTCTCTCTCTCTCTCTCTCTTCTCTCTCCTCTCTCTCTCTCTCTCTCTTCTCTCTCTCTCTCTCCTCTCTCTCTCTCTCTCTCTCTCTCTCTCTCTCTCTCTCTCTCTCTCTCTCTCTCTCTCTCTCTCTAACTCTTCTCTCTCTCTCTCTCTCTCTCTCTCTCTCTCTCTCTCTCTCTCTCTCTCTCTCTCTCTCTCTCTCTCTCTCTCTCTCTCTCTCTCTCTCTCTCTCTCTCTCTCTCCTCTCCCTCTCCCTCTCCCTCTCCCTCTCCCTCTCCCTCTCCCTCCTCCCTCTCCCTGTCCCTGTCCCTCTCCCTCTCACGTGCTCCTGCGTACACCAGTCACCTGGTCACCGTGCCTGCAGGGTACAACTTACTAGCCTGTTTGACCTTTTTTGGGTGCAGTCCTGTCACTCGAGTTGAACCTTGGTGTGAAAGTTGTGGCCAGCTGGCGTGGTGACCAGGTGATTTGGGCACCCAGGAGCACGTGACCGCTTCTTCAACCATGTTCGATTGGGAATAAAGGAGGAACGCTGCATCGCAGCCTTTTCGGACCAAAACCAATCGACTCAGCGTCCCAAAAGAGTACAACATATGGGCCAATCGCGGTCATCCGTGCTTTTATAAGAAGGAAATGGCGCTTTTAGTGACATTTTGCATACAAATCCCCATCTAGTAGGCGCAGTCACCCAGTTTCGGTGGAAGTGCGCGAGTTCGATTGGGATTCAAGTAGGAAGGGGGAGTCTCAGCTTTCTCGGACCAAGACCATTCGACTCAGCACCCCGAAGACTACAACTGTTGAAATTTTAATTTTTGCCTTAACTTCCCCTTTAACTTTGGACCTGAGTAACTTTGGACCTCGGTCTACGCTTTTTGTTTCTTCATGCCAGTGCAGGTATGGGCAATCACGCTGACTGGAGGTCCTGTGTGCGGGCGCACTTCTCGCTAGTACTGCTGCTGCTTCTAGCCCGGTCATACGGCTCAAGTGCAGCACCAGTTGGGCAACCGTGTGACTTTGAAAATGGTGACACGACTGGAACATATCACCTGAATTGCACTGCCAAACTGAACAAAACTGTTAACAATTTCGTGTTTCCCGCTGGGGAGGCAAGGAAAATGACCAAACTGTAAGTTTGTTTGTTTGTTTGAAAGTCCAAAACAGGCCCTAGCCTAATAACAATGGTCCCACTAGTGAGCGAATGAGTGGAGTGAGGGAAGTGTGACCATGTACTGTATATACATCTGGGTTCCTAAACTCAACATGGTCTCTCCACTAAATTTGGCGAACAGATATCTTTCATGACATATGCAGCGAAGAGAGAACATGTTGAGTGTTGAGTTGAGGTGAGCAAACCAGATGTGTAATGGCTGCAATGAAGTCTGTGCGTACCCTTATCCAAAAGGAATTTTTTTAAAGGAGAAGAAAACACACAATGGAAACTAGATATGAAGCAACTGTCCACGACTGTGACAAGATAATAGGTAGTCAGAAGTTCAGTTAAGCTCAAGGCCGTCACAGCCTGGGCGGCTGGGGCGGCTGAGGCCGCCCCACTTTTTCGGCGTTTTTTTTTTTTTTTTTTTTTTTTCGGAGCACATTACAACAAAGCACAATGATCGCAGCTAGCGCAAACGTCACAAATCCTTGTCCCCGATCGTGGTTTGTTGCAGAAAATGTCTTTCATTGCAGTTGTATACACTGAAATGGCACCAATTGCCTGGAAATGCTTGCAATTGGCTTCAATTTTTGAATTTTTTCCCGGGGGAGGGTAATTTTTGTCTCCGATCGTAGCGTCTTCTTCGTTTGTTGCAGAATCAAAAAGACTTTCATTGTAGTTACTGTGCACTGAATGGCACCAAATACCCGGAAATGCTTGCAATTGGCTTCGATTTTTTGAATTTTTTTCCCGGGGGAGGACCCCGGACCCCCCTTCCATGGCCGCCCCACCTCCAAAGTCGGTGCGACGGGCCTGAAGCTAAGTTGGAAGGTTGTTGGTTTGCTCACTGGAGGTGTGTCAGAGCTAGGTCTCGGGTCGTTGAATGTCTCAGTAGCCCGTCAGTTGTGTGCCCAGTTGTCGCACTTTCTGACTGCTTGTTATCTTGTTACAGCCGTGGCTAATTGCTTCATACTGACGCGTTTCCATTGTGCTTTTCTTCTCCTTTGACGTTGATCCTAGCAATTTGATTTCCTCCTTCGAGTTACAATCTTGTCCCTTTGGCTCTGCTCTGGAGGTATCAAGCACTTTTGAAATCAATTATTAGGAACTTAGCTTGCGTATGAATCTGGTGTGGTTGAACGGAGTGCTGTGGATAGAGTTTTGACACAGTTTGTACATTCATCAATTTAAATGTTTAGGTGGAGCGTGGAAACTTGTCCGGTGCACGCGGGGGACTAGCTAGCACTCTTTTGTACAAACATAATGAAAGCAGTACCACCGATTCATGCGATCCCTCCCAGCACATGCTGCTTTTCAGTAATGCCACTGCCCGCTGTACTATTATTTCCTTTACTGGCCTAACTGGCTTTAACAAAGTAATACTTTACTACCCACTCTACTCAGTGTCATTACCTTCATTGGCCTTTTATAATTTATTCTCCTTTTTAGTCGATATCATGTAATTAGGCAAATTTGCCTGTTTGTTCTTCGACTCTAAATAAACAAACAAACAAAAGCGTGAACCAATGGATGTCTATAGATGGCGCTGACATATTAAAAACCAATGGGCGTGCGTAGATTTTGCGAACCAATTGAAAACTTGAACCAATGGACATGTACATATCTGGCAGTGCAATGTTAAGTTGCCCAAGCTGCGGCTTTTTCTGGTTTTCGTCAATATCTAGAGAGGAGAGAAAGCACCGGGTTTGTCCAAGGTCAACTGACGAACCAGTGCGACTAGCAGTATTTGGTTATTGAGCAGCCACCGCACTTGCTTACGGCAATGCTGGACTCCACAGGCGTACAGTGTGAGAGACAGCATGCTGTGTGCATCGTTTCCCATTTCCACTGATTGTCACCAAGGAACAGGATTTTCTAAAATCCCTTGATTCTTGACCAGTTGTTTGACCTAATTCAGCTTTCTTTCAGTGGTTGTGGCTAGTGCCAAGAGTACATGAAAACCAGAGGGTGCAGCTTGGAGCTTTTTCTACTATGGGCGTCTGAATTCCGTGATTACATCATATTTGGCACAGATCTGAGGCGGGAAATGGCGTCGTGCGTACAACTGAGCTGCAGTTGTGCAGAAAGAGACCTGCTTGAATCCTGCTTGTACGCACTACATCACTAAAATGATGTAATCACGGAATTCCGCCGTGACAGCAACCCATCCGAGCTGCACACTGGTTTTCATGTACTCTTGCTAGTGCTTGTTGTGACACATATACAATACTGTATTGCTAAAAAATAATGTCTTTCATTCAGAGACCTGAGTCGAGTGAAACTTGCGGACACACTGATCAACTTGAGGGATGATGCTATCTTCTATTCGCTGACAGTTCTGTAAGTTCTAGGAGGAATGCATAGTCAGTATAGGTCTGACCCAACCCTTGACTTTGTCCCCTACCATCTTCGACCTTCCACGCATCCGTGTTGAACAGCTGTTTCTCTCCCTAAAAGAGTCATTAACCCTTTCAGACCCTTTAGTACTGTTTTGAGTCGAGAACGTTACAACGTTTGAATTTGAATTCTTTATTCTCACGATGGCACCATCGCCGATAAAAGATAAGTTTATGAGAAGGTGAGATGCTGTGGGTGGGCAGGGCCGGCGCCACTGGTACGGCCGGTACGGCCATGGCCGTACCAACTTCCCAAAAAGTCGGTCCAGGTGGAACGTCCAAAACCGGGGAGAAAAAGTTTCGATGTATGATTTTGTACAGGGAGTCGTACAAAACGGACTCCCTATACCCTGTAGCTGTCAGTGCAGTGCACACTTTGTACACAGTGCATTCTGCATTGGAATATCAGACTTGCAAGTAACAATTAGTTGTACCCAGAAAATGCACCGAAATGCGCCCAGAGTACAGGATTTGCCGTCTAAATTCCCAAAAATATTCTGGGGGAGGACCCCACCCCCCCTCACTTAAAGATGGCCCTTCGGCGGCACCGCTCCACGGCAGCCGCCTCCGGCCCTGGTGGGGCTGTGGGTTATGCAGTTGGAAAGTAATTTACATCACCTTGAATTTCACAAGTATGGAAGAGGGTGAGCGCTGCAGGAGCAGATTGAATTAACCCCTTGAGCGCGGGGCTGTTTGTCAGTGCACCACGTAAGAAAATGGTCTTTTTTCAAACCTTGGCTAATTCAAGTCGTGAAATCTTTGGGAGCCACAACTACAGGCAGTGGTAGGTAGGACCCAGACCAGCACTCGACAACAAGAACAAAAGCGAAAATCGGCCAAGCGGCATACTCAGGTCGATTTTTGAGAAATTGCACCAATTGCGTGGTATGCGCGCGTAGAAAAGAGAAAAAAAAAGAGCTGTGCTGATCACTGTACATCGATAGCTGGGAACTGAACCCGGGACCTCTCGTACACAAGGCACAGACACTACGAGGTGAATTGCTATTTCTGGACATTGTACATTTCTGGACATTTCGAGTAAAATAATTTTTCGTCGCGTGTAGAGTCAAGTCAATCAGGTTGCTGAAGTTTTTTCTTGTTGTAGTTGATAGCTGGGTTGTTGTAGTTTCTCCTCGTGTCGGTGCCTTGTTGATAGCCTTTTCTTGGGAGGCATTTCAACGAGTTTTGTGGTACTATGTTGCATGAGAATTTTGAATTTTGAGTAAAATAAGAAGTAATGGACGAATCGTTGGCTTCCCCATGTGCACTCCACTTCAGACGCTGTATAGTCTTGGACCTGTTGGCTGGAAGTGTGAAGAGGCCAACTGCAGTCCACCAATAGAAAAAATAACAAAAATGGTGCAGTATAGGATGCCTATTGACGCTATTTTACTTTCATGTCCAGAATTCCATACACTGAAATTTAGGCCAAAAAATGGGCCTGTCGAAAACAACCTGCTATAAAGTCTCTGGGATCTTAGCATGAGCAATTGTCACATATTTGGAAAGATGAAGGATTAGGCCATACAATAGATACAAAAAGATATGAAAAATGTAAAACACACAGCCAGTGGGCCCCTATTTTATTTTCATGTCCAGAAATTGCTATTCACCTCGTACCAATCGGCTAACAGACCTGAAGACTGAAGATACGGGCCATTAGTTTGTATATAAGCGACGTACTAGTACGTCATCCGTGGGGCACTGTGTGGGTGTTATGACGTACTAGTACGTCATCCGCGCTCAAGGGGTTTTAATCAGCAGCGAGTAGGTTTCTTGATAAGAGATAAGTTTATGAGAAGAAGAGATGCTTTGGGTGGGGCTGTGGGTTATGCAGTTGGGAAGTGATTTACATCACCTTTAATTTCACAAGTATGGAAGAGGGTGAGCGCTGCAGGAGCAGATTGAATTAGTCAGCAGCGAGTAGGTTTCTTGTTTGAACTTTACTCTTCCCTTCCTTGTTATGTAACTGTTGTCCTGCTACTACTCTCCCCTCTTCCTACGAGTAAGTGATGGCTTCAGTAAAACAAAGAGAAAAGGAGAGAAGAGGAAAAGGACGTGACCTTCTCGTATACTGAAAAACATTGTGCTGTGGTGGCTTGACCTTCGCCATTGCAGTCATCTGCTAGAATGGCAAACCAATCTTTCTTGTTTGTAAGCAGGTCGGGAAGGAACTTTACTCTTCCCATTGTTGTGTAGCTGGTATCCTGCTACTTCTCTCCCCTCTTCCTACGAGTAATTGGTGACTTCAGTAAAACAAAGAAAAGGAGAGAAGAGGAAAAGGACATGCCCTTCGCGTATACTGAAAAACATTGTGCTGTGGTGCTCTGGGATTTCAAACCAACCGGGTACGCATGGACCTGGCACAACTCTTGCACCCCAGGTCATCTCCGGATACATTCAAGTGCGGCTAATGCACATCGGGGAGTCTTAGGACACCATGATGGAGTCCCAAACGGTCACATGTGACCGGTTCTTTTTTTTCCAAGCAGGTCCAAATACCCCCCCCCCCCCTTCCCCAACCGGGTCGCTGACCCGGCTGACCCGACTCTGGAGCAGACCCTGCCGTCAGGCGAAATTACTGGTCAGTCGGCGACACACATTTTTCACAAAAATTTGCATTTCACCTGCTGGGAGAGTATGCGTGTACTCGAGTCTCATCCTGAGCACGTTTTTTCTCCGTTTTTCAGCTCCTGTATAGCTGTATTTTTCATTGCAAAGCCGTCCTCGATTATTGTGTTCGTTGTTCAAACGAAGTGGGCATTCAATCGTGAAGGCAGAGGACATAGGAGCCTGATTGGAGTTTCTCGTGGCATAGGACGGCCACACAGAGACACTTTGGGATTTTCTGAATATAAAATACCGTACGCACGATGCGGAGATCAATTTGTGCGATATCAAATTGTTTGTGATCTACCACATCGAGCAGAACGGGATCCAAACACAAGCTTACCGACGGTTAGGCTGCCGACCTGACTGGAAAAATGATCCCTGGCTTCACCAGACGCCAGAAGTCGGACACCATGTCCCTTCCCGCGACGTCCATCTCCAAAAAGAACTCCATCTTCGTCGTGAAAAGGCTTGAAATACTCAATATTCAACCGAGATTCGCGGTCTCACCCTTTCTCAGATCGAATCATTTTTTTGTTGTAGCAGTTGCAGGGCAGATCCCCGCCACTACTTCAACAGAAGATGGCTCCAAAGCATGCCTGGAACAAGCCATATCGAGGTTGCAAGCCACCCATCTCAGCACCTTTTTTGAAGAAATTCAAAATTTCAATGGTGGAAGATATACTATGGAGAGAATTTCAAAAAGTATGTTTCGCGGAGCGATCGCTCAACCTACGTCATTCAAACTTTGCAGGATGGTTCAGACGTACATGCTAGGCATGGAACTACAGAAGATGATATCATAGCTGACACACAGAGTCACACACACAGCAGATTCGTGTGCACAGATACTAAATTAGTGGACGTAGTCATCTTCTTCCCGCACATCTCAAATGTACTATGACGTGCTATTTCGCCTGACGACTGATGTCCAAAG